AGCACAAGATTCAGGTGGACTTTGAGGAGTCAATAGTGAGTCCAAGACATATTGTAGCCCAACAGCAGGATGAATCGAATTCAAATTCAGGTGGAGTGCAAGATTCAGATGGAGTGCAAGACTATAAACTTGTGTGTGATAGGGAGTTCCATCGTATTACACCTCCAGTGATATATGGGTTTGAAGAGTTGGTTGCATATGCTCTTCTTACCAATTTAGGGGACCCTTCTATTTTTCGAGAAGTTATGGCTATCCACGAGAAAGATAAGAGGACATGTATTATGGTGGAGGAGATAGAGTCCTAGAAAAAGAATGAGACATGGGATCTTGTTCAGCTACCACAGGAAAATAGAACTATTGGTTGCAATTGGGTGTACAAGAAAAAGCTAGCAGTAACATAAAAAGAATGAGAAAAGTTCAACGCTCGCCCCTAGTTCCAAAGGGATATTCATAATAGAAGGAGATTGATTATGATAAGATTTTCAGTCTAGTCGTTAGACACACTTCTATCAGAGCAGGATTGGCCATGGTAGCCAGCAGGGATATGCATTTAGAGCAGATGGATGTGAAAACAACTTTCCTTCATGGTAACCTACATGGAGCATTCAGAGGGTTTCAGTGATACTGGACATGGCAGACTTGTTTGCAAATTTAAGAGGTCTTTGTATGGCTTAAAGCAGTCTCCAAGGCAGAGTACAAGCACTTTGATTCATACATTCTCCAAATTGGATATAAAATGAGTGATTATGATTGATGTGTTTATGTGAGGAGCCTTAATGATGGTTCTTTTATTTTTTGGTTACTTTATGTTGATGATATGTTGATTGTTGCCAACCATTTGCATGATGTAAATGAGTTGAAGACCAAGTTAGGTAAGGAGTTTGATATGAAGTATTTGGGTGCTGCAAAGAAGATTCTTGGGATGGAAATTCACAGGGACAGAGGAACTAATAAATTATGGTTGTCTCAAAAATCTATATTGAAGGTGTTTTGAGCATATTCAACATGAGCAAAACAAAGCATGTGAGTACTCTATTGACAAATTATTTTAAGCTCTCTTTGGAACAATGTATGAAGACAGACTCAAAAATTGAAGGTATGTCAAAGATTTCTTATGTTAATGCAGTTGGTTGTTTGATATGTGTTATGGTTTGCACTAGATCAGATTTGGCACACGCAGTTAGTCAAGTGTGAAAGTTCATGTCCAAGCCAAAGAAGCAGCATTGGGAAGAAATCAAGTCAATCATAAGGTACTTGAAGGGTACAACTGATCGAGGTATCATGTTCAACATGTGGCAAGGTATTCCATCAATTGTGGTACATGTGTGATTCTGACTATGTAGGTGATCTAGATGATAAGAGGTATACAAGAAAGCATGTCCTTAGTCTTCTGAGGGATCTATATGCTGGAAATCATCAGCTCAATCTATAGTATTAATGTCAACAACTGAGACAAAATACATGGAAGTAGTTGAAGCTGTCAGGGAACCATTGTGGCTTACAAGATTAGTGAAAAAGTTAGTGTTAAACAAGGTGGAGTTCAGTTGCATTATGATAGTTAGAGTGTTATCTATTTGGCGAACAATCAGGTGTATGATGCTAGGACCAAGCATATTGACGTGAGGTTCTACAAGATCAGAGAGTTGTTGACGACCAGACAAATAATACTTCAAAAGGTTCACACTGCATATAATATGACAAGTTCAAACATTGTTTAGATTTGTTATGTGTTTTTCAGTGTTAAGCGGGAGGTGTACCTCCCCGATTTCAAGGATGAATCGTCATATAGAAAGTCTTCATAGGGGTTTGATATTCATCAATGCGGAGATTATTGAATATGAATCATATTATTGAGATAATTATGGATTGTTGAGATAACTATGATTGTTGAGATTATAACTCATATTGTTGAGATAATTATGGGTTGTTGAGATAACTATGGATTGTTGAGAGTATAACTTATGTTGTTGAGATGATTATGGGTAGAGATAATGGTTTATTGAGGGAAAATAGGGATTAAGGCTTTAAATAAACTAAAACCAAGTATTATATATAATGTAACACTGTAATCCAATACAATTCACAAGACATAAATAAAGGGAACTATAGTTACTCTATAGCCGCAGACGTGTGCAATTTAGTTAAACTGCGTGAATAATTTTTTTTGTGTTTCTCTCTATTCTGATATGTCGTCGCGTTCCTGTTCTAACATATTTTAAGTTTAACTTCTTAATTGATTAACCAAGTTTCTAATCAATTAAGCGTTTGTTCAAATTGATTTTAAAAAGTTTTATCAAAAGAGAAGGGGTTTTAAAAGACTATGTGTGTGTGTGCACGCACATTGTCTTAGTACCTCGAGACTTACTTTTGTTTCTTTTACAGTTAAACTGATTAGAACTAGGAAAAACCCTAAGCACAAGACCAAGTCGACTTTCAGACTTTCACACCTTTGAGTCTACAATTCAAGACTTCAATTTTTTATATCTTCAAAACTTACAACTTCAAGATCATTTTATTGTTTCAACATTTACTAGCACTTTTAATTTAATCTTAATACATTTGATTAATGAGACTTGAGATATCTCTTTTTTTTTTTTTGTTCAAATGTCACATTTGATTAATTTATGATCTGTTTGCTTAAGGAGAAAAACACTAGAGAGAAGTTGGGGAGAAAGAGTAAAGGAAGAAATGTCACATCAAAACTGTTTGGAGAGGAGATAAGTAGAGAAGAGAGTGTAAAATATGGTGGGGTCCACATATTTTATGCATCTCCTCAAATGAGCGAAGAAATAGCTAAGAAATGGGTAGTTTCTCCAATTTTCCATCTTTGTCCATGTCATCTTCATCTTTGTTGTTCTACTTCTATTAAAAATTGATGACAAAATAAAAACTTTTCTATACCTCTACTGCATTTATTGGTTTTTTGGTGGTAAAAAAATACTGCATAAATATTAATTTTAATGTTAACAGCTAAAAAATAATGTGTTTTATTTTTTGCATCCAATTTTTTCCATCTTTGCACATAATAAAAATTGAGTGTTGTGGGGGAACAATAAGATATAGATATCCAATAATAAATTTCAAGAATAATTTTTTATATTAGTTTAAAAGCAATTTTGTATAAGTTTAAAAACAATTTTTTAATTTATTCTTTTTTATGATGGTTGGATAAGCTTTTTTATATTAATTTTGATATATATTAAAGATAAAATCTACTCTTTGAAATAAAAACATTTCAATACTTTATATTTTAATAAAAGAATTTATTGTGTGTTACTAATTTTAAAAATATTATATAAACCTGATTGTATATTAATATTTCATAAAAGAAAAGTATATTTATAATAAAATATTAAAATTTAAGTTAAGGGTATTTTTGTTTTTTTAAAATTAATTAAACTTCTCTCTCTTCTATTTCTCTTTTTTTTTTTTATACTAATCAATATCTCAAATCTATTTTATTTATCATCTATTTTTCTCCTTTTATATCCTTTCTTACTTCTTTCTCTCTTCTCAAATTCTTTCCTCAACCAATCACACCCTTAGAATGTGTTTGGATGATATAATTAAAAAAAATTTAAAAATTCAAAATTCTAAATAATCTAAATGATTCAATTAAAATTCGTTCATTTAAAAAAAATTGTTTAAATGAAATATTAAAATGATTCGTTGTCAAATTTTTGAGTCATTTTCATAAATTCTAAAACTTTTGGTCCAAATTAAAATATGAAACATAAGAATTAATTTGCAATTTTTGAAAATTTTCAAGAGACTAATTTATAAAATTTAAAACTTATTTAGAGACTTCTTTATAATTTTTTGAAAACTTTGAGAGTAAATTAGTAATTTTCATTAAATATAAGGACTATTTTGTAAACTCTGAAAAATTAATAGTAAACGATTTAACATTTCAATTATAAAACAATTTCAAATTCTTCACTTTTTGGTATTATTTGAAATTCCTTAAATTTTACTTGAATAAAATACTTTATAAATTTATATCATTTTAACAATTTTCTATATTTTTTATTTAAATAATAGATTTTGATTGAGTCATTTAAAATTCTTTCAAAAAATTATTTTTCCTCCTTAAAATACTTTATCCAAATACACTTTCAGGATGATTTTCGCAAAGCTTGAGATATCTAATTTTAAAATGTTTTAATCCAAGATGAACTAAATCCACATCGCCACTAGTATATGGGCTACTTTTCCAACCCTTTTTTTTTTTAAAACCCCGAAAATAGTTTTAAAAATGTAGTTTCGAGACAACATAAAATTTGCATTTTTTTTCCTTTCGGATATCTACACCCAAAGTTATTTGAGTGGTGAGATAAGTTTTCCCCTTATATATAATAAAATAATAATCAATCACTTAAAGTTCCTTGGTCAAAACTAATTTTGAAAATTGAACACTGACATATATTTTACATGTACTTGTGTCATTACTTCACAAAAATGTAACATGTAGCAGCGTTAAAAAATTTCAAACAGTAAATTTCTTTCAGTGCCAATGTGTAGCCAAGGACAAACCAATTAGCACTGATATCTAGTTCTTACACAGATTGTGGATGTTCCATCTTGCTCACCACACTGGTTGTTGCTATTTTTGTTTCTACCATGTTTATTTGTGTACACAATTTCATTTGCTTACATTTAAAGTAAAATCAATTTGTATTCTGCTAGTCATTTTACAAAAGAAGCAGAAAGTTAGAGAACCCAAAACAGCTACTAGCATGTTTGAAACCGTAGAAACCACGTTCAATTGTTTTTCACCTTGAAAACTACAATGTGTAGCTTCAACAGTATTGCGTGTTTGATTGCTTTCCAGTGCTGATCCAAACACTCACTGCATCTTATAAGAAGAATAACAAATAGGCAGAAAAGTTCTATTTGTATTACATTACAAGTGTACAGTATCTATCTATCTATATGTGAAAACCAAGGAACTGGACTTAAATTGCAACATACATGATTTTTTGGTTGTCTGGAATAGTGGTTCAATCACTTTGAACTATGGCGGAGAAGAGTAGTTTGTTGAGATCACTAGAATTTGAATCGTGCGGTTCATTTCCTGCATTAAAACACATTCAAAGACAGTTAGTTGTTCACGCCATTTCTGTAATCTAAAAATGCTATATACGGTAATTTAGACCATATTTTGATAAATTAGAATGGTTGCTAGTTGCTCCTCAATCCTCATTCTAAGAAAGCCCTTCCTTTTGATACAAATGCAGCAGCCATAGAAGGAGAAATGATGAGAGACAGACGCCGTGCTAGAAAATGACTAAGACAGCATGGTAAGCATCATTGCCTAGCTAGCTTTAATCTAATAGTGTACCAGTGTTGTTAATCCCGGATAGCAGAAAATAGTTGCTCGTTTAAATGATACTGCTATGGCAGATACTTGAACAATTTGTATCAACTAATGCATTATGGAAGAAAAAAAAAGTGATTTGCTCAAATTCTATTATGCTCCAGAGCTATAGTCCTATTTGACAACACTTTGTACTAAACATGAGAGAGACAGTTAATTTATCATCGTATTATGTGATTCTGTCATCATGCTCTTCACAACAGTAGCCAGAAATTTTTTGCTAATCCAAGAATGATGGTTTAAATGCTAGCATCAATTAAATAAGGTTGTCAAATGTACTGCATGAGAATGTGAATGGAAAATTGGCAGAGCAAAAAGTCCTTGAAATTGCTCACCTATTTTTGATCTTGTTTGCTCTGTCCATTCATCAATCACCTGCACAATCAGTTAAATTGTGTCAAAGCCATTACAGTTACTTAGCTGACTACGTAACAAGTGAGAAATTCAAAAATTAGGATGAAAATCCCTTTACAGATGCTTAGTATAGCAGAATTATGAGATTATGAACAGTGTTGTTGATGGAGGATGGCGGTCCATGGCGGAGAGCCAAAATCCCGCCATACAGGCCGCTTTACGGCGCCGTTATTGCGGATTATGGCGGAAATACCTGCAATAGCGGCCGATATTTACCATTGCGGCAAGCCCAAAAACCGCCATGTATATCCGCCATAGCGGCCATGGCGGGGTAATTTGATAACAATGATTATGAAAAACAAAATATATTCTTTCCCACTTGGGCTATGTTTGGATATCATAAAATGAACGGAGCGGAATAGAGCTTGGCGGAGTGGAATGAAGCGGAGCGGAACGAAGATTCCATTCCATTGTTTGGAAATTTTAGGACGGAACAAGGAAGTTGTTCATTCTGCCCAAATCGGAGGGGGAGGAATGCGGTGGTAAGTGATGGAATAGAGTGAAATCCTACCACTTCATTCCGCTCCATCTGATTTTAAATCCAAACAAAAGAATATCATTTCATTCCATCCCATACCGCTCCACCCCATACGCTGCAAGATAGTATTTTGATAATGTTATAAATTATAATGTATCCTCTGTATTCTACCCCTCTCTTCCAACTTTCTGCCAAAGAAAAACCAATAGGATCTCATAAAATTTGGGTTGAATTTTCAACTTAGTTGATAATGTCTCACCTCACTTTTTTGCAGCGTATGCATTTTCAACTTATTCACATATAAACTCCCCAAATAACTTACAAATTAGACTCAACTTATAAATGTCTTATAGAGTTCACTCAGAGTCTTTCTTCGATCATACAAATAACTTATACATAAACTCCGAAGACGAGTTTTCTTTGTTTAAAGTATTATAAGAAGATATTGACATAATCAACATCAATTATCATGCATACATATATGAGCAAAGGCCCTAAAATGCCAAAAAAAACACATCATTAAAGAACACACTTCAGTTATAAGAAGTTACTATCATTCAATCTGTTTAAAGACTTTGAAGCACAAACCTCTGAAAAATAAAAAACAAACACAGTCAAACAAAAATACACACACACACAAACTCAATAACCTGTTTAAAGTTAGCGAACGCCTCCTCATCTTCATAGGTAAAGGGAATGCCAACAGACGATTTCATACGCTTCAATAAATTTATATTCTCAACTAAAAGTCTCTGAGCTTTATCAATCAAATCCTGCACAAATCAACAACCAAACACTACTTCAAAACCTCCCATCTCACATGCTTATATCTACATTATCAGAGACACCAAACATGATACTGACACCAGAGATAATAATTTACGAAAACGAAAGTGATTAAACATAAACATACACCATTCATCAAAAATCCAATGAAATATTTCAAATCAAAATCCAATTCAAATCCAATTCTACAGAAACAACCAATAATCACACCTGCTTAGCAGCAAGAAGCTCGGGGTACTTTTCCTTCAAAGATGAAACATCTTCCTGCACCTTTCTGATTCTAGACGCAAGCTTCATAGGATTTGCCTGCAGAAAACCCTAATTCAGTTTTAATCACAAACAAAAAAATGGATTAAGATGCGATTAGGGTTTATACTTACATTGTCAGGGTAAAGGCGTTGAAACTCGTTTTCGAGAAGGCGGTGAACTATATCAAGATCTTGATTTGATTTTCTGAAGAATTTCACAAGTTCATGGGTTGCATCACTGTATTCATTTCCCATTTTTATTCTCTCTCGATTCGAAATTCAAATTGCTCTTCGTGGTGCAATCTGAAGATCAAATTCAAAATTTCCAATAATGAAGTGTTGTTTTGGAGGCAATTATTTATTTGAAAAGTTTAATGGGTAGGATACAGGTTAATAAATCTAAAAATATAAAATTGTGTTTGAAAAGACAATAAAAATATTAATTATCAATTTTTAATTAAAACAATACACAATTTTTAATAAATAATTTCCACATTTAGCCATCATTAAAGAAACATTATTTTTGAGTAAAAAAAAGTTATTTTTGAGTGTGTGAAGTTAAAAGAGATTTGGCAAGATGTGTTCAATTGAATCTAGATTAGTCATACTCCTAAGAAGTGGGAAGATGAGTTGAATTGGATTCTTAGTCTTGGTAAAGACAAAGGATGGAGGGTTAAAATTCTCAAACTTGTTGCGACAACACTCTTTATGATAGTTGGATTTATCGTAATAGTGTTTGCTTTGGCAAAAACATTGATAGAGATCAAGTTGTGAAATATATCATTAGCAATATTGTTTATAAGGGTTGGTTTGTAAGGATATCAAAGTCCATATAGTTAGATTGATATTTTGTTAGGTCGTTTTCCTTGGTTTTGTTGTTTTTTGGTTGGCTGATTATGTGAGATCGCCTTATATCTTTGACTTTTTTTTTATATATTATAAGTCTCTTTTTCCAAAAAAGAAGAAGTTATTTTTAGGATTTTATTTATGTGTTTTTTTTACAATCCACACACAAGGTTTAAAAGATTTTTTAATTGTGTGTTTCTTATTAAAATCTATAATATAAGAAAATTAGATCTATCCAAAAAGTCAATTTTGTCATTTTGTTCCAAAATCACAACATATGGCATTATGAGAGGAGAAAAAAATATATCATATAAGATTGATGGCTTCACGTGGAATGAGTAAATTTTCTATCCAAACTTATCCCTTCTTTTCGTTACCCATAGTAGTTGTTACCTTGAAAAATTTTAAGGTATTCAAGCACGTGTATTAAATGAGGATATTCTGATAAGATAAGGGTCATCCTCTAAAATAGGGGTTTTTGGGAAATTGGAGCCAAAGTGTTTGAAAATTTGGCTTTATTAAACTATATTTAATGTTTAAAGGAAATGTCACGCCAAACTATCGAAACTGAGCCAGGTCGACCAAAAGGAAATAAAAGAATATATGTTAAGAAATGATCGAAATTGGTTTAGTCGACCAAAGGGTAAAAGACAAGGAAAATGGTCGGAATTGGTTTTTTGTCAACCAAAAGAGTTTCTGGACTTAGAGGAATTGTTGTTGATTTTTAAATCTTGCCAAAGGGAAAGTGTCGAAGCGAGTCAAAAGCGGTTTACTTTCAGTAGCTAGGAGAGGGAAGATTTAAATTTCAAAGTTATCAACAGTTGCCAGCGGTTTACAATGTGTTTAAGTGCCAAATAGGTGGCGACATCCAATGAAGTGGTTGTCTCAAGATTTTAATATTGCCCTTTAGTGTAATTTATTGGGTGTGGTCACTTGTATGCTCAAATCACTTGTCAAAACTCTGTCATTCCGAGCGTTAGGAAACAAATAGTGAAGAAGTGCTTGACGTACATGAATCACGACTTTTGAATACTTTATTTGCTTTCTATGTTCTGTCGAACAAAGTCTTTACGTCATTTTCTACTTCGCGTAAACAATTCAATACTCTTTGTCGGTCACGAGTCACTAGTCAGTTAGTTTATTGAATCTTATTTTCATATGAATACCTTCTGTCAATCACGAGTCACCAGTCAGTCGATCGATTCATAGTGTGGAAAGTCGTTATACTTGTTCCCTTAATCAAAGAAAACCATTTTCCTTGATAAGGATTTCGATAGAATAAATATAATAGTAAAACTCTTAGCACATGTCTTAAGATCAACTGGTCGATCTTACGAGTTACCCTTAGTTTTAGGACTTTGGAAGGACCAACGGTTGTTTACCATTTTTCATAGTAAACAAATTGGCACACCCGGTAGAACACAGTGCTAAGAATTTGTCTTAAGTGTATGCAGCTTAAAAATGGAAAGTTAACCAAAAAGTATAATAAACCATCATCTAGGAAGCATATACCAAGAATGACAATTCCTGATAATCCAAACGTAGATGAAATACCGTCACGAACTTTAACTACTACTGATCCAGTAGTTTCTCAAGTTGCACCTTTTCCTCCAGTCGGGTCAACTGCAGCAGGTTCCGCAAAAATTTCCCAGGCTCCACCGGGAAGCCCAAGGCCTGTAATGAATACGACCACTGTTGTACTCCAAAATTTTCTCTCTCATTTTACTCAGTACATTCTCATTGAGATCCTTAACATGCTCAAGGATGCCCAAGAGTTGACCAGACAAACTCTCTCCTAAAGCAATGAACCTCCAACTAGGGTTTCCATTTTCATCAAGATGGGTGAGCTACAAAGGCATCAAATCTTTTCCATGATCCTAATATGTTCTCAAGATCATCCATGTCAAGTTGCATGCCTTACACAAGAAGTTTGCTCAGTCAACTGCTCAGATGCTTGAAAATCAACTATATTAGGTCAAAAGTCAACTATGACCCACATACAGGCAAACTTTAAGATTTTTGGTCAACATCAACATTTTTAAGTCATATCTATCATTTGATCAAGGTTTGATCATGATTCATCAAGGAATGCTCCTAATTCATCAAAACTCAAAAGTTGATAAATTAGGGTTTCTTAGGAAAAGTCAACCAAACTTTGACCGGGCATAACTTTCTCATACGTTATCAGAAATTTCCCATCCAAGGCTCATTTTGAATAGGATTCAATTACCTATAACTCATCTTCAACCATCAAGTTCAATAAATTCACTCATGAAAAGATATAAATTCAGGCATTATAGGTCATTTCAAAAAGTCAACAAAAACACCTTTTGGGTCAAAGCTTCTTACATGAAAATGGAAGATCCAAGTGAGATAGAACCAAAAGGGTTGTTTAAAGGACATCCTAAGCTTTCTAAAAAGTCAAAGAACACCCTCTTAGGGTTAAAATTGAGGGAGATATGTATTGTCAAAATTGATTAATTTTTGGAAATGTGCATGAAGTCAACATTGATCAAAATAACTTTTTTTCCAAATGGGCCCATGTTTTCTTGTTTGAAACTTGTTCCTAAGATGGCCCACGACCCCTGAGCTTATCCACCTATTATTTTATTATTTTTATTATTTATTTTTATTTTTTATCCATTTAAATCAAAATAAATCAATTTAAATAGTAGAATAATCAAATAAAATCAAAGATTTGATTTTATGAGCATATTATGAGTCAATGAACAACTAGAAAATCAAAAAATTCGTGCAAGAGCTAATTGATTGGAAAAGATCTTAATTTGGTCTATTTTGGAAACGAATCATACAAGGTAAAGAATGAAATCAAATCTCCATAATTTGCAAAGATATGATCAGTTTTTGTTGGCTTAAATCATTCTATGATATATACACAACATTCCTAAAGCATAAGGAAGGTTTTTGGGTCATGAAAACAAGGAGGTCAACTTCAATTTTTTGTCAAAAAAAGTGCTGATCACATATTCCTCCATAGACTGATTCAAGCAATTCCATGGCCAGTAATCCGTTCCTGGACATTTTTTGAAGCCATTCCAATCATCCTCAAGTCTTAAAACCTTCAGAAATCACGCCTCACAGTGCCACAGTTTGCATCCTTTTTCAAGATTCATTTTCAATAATTTATCTATCATAAACATGTTTTAATTATATATTCATGCTTGCTATCATATTTGCAATGTTTTTGATTAGTTTGATTGAAGTTTAAGTGCAAGAATGGCACGATGCCGTTGTTAGGGTTTTGAGGTCCCAAATTGGGAATTCCATATAGAGGCAAAATTGGACAAAATCAGGGGTACTATCATGCTTAGAAGATGATTTGCAATTGATCCATGTCCTTGGTTGGAATTTATTCTGCTTGTGTTGCGTTTTTGAATTTTACAGGTTTATGGCTACGAACAAAATCTGTCACTATAGCTTTTAGTGACGGAAACGACTGTAGGTAAAAGTGTGGCCAAAAACAACAGTTATGGGGAAGAAGATAATTAGGTGGTAGAATCCCATTGGGCAATTTGAATCACGCGCGCGTTTGGGAAAGACCACTTTATTTCCTTTATATTTTATTTATGTTATTATATTTACAACTAACCATCCCAGCACAGATGGCAAAGGCGCATGCCGTGAAGCAAAGGGTTCTGGGTTCGATCCCAGAATCTCACGTTTTCATATTTTCCAATTTCTTTGTCCCAGATCCAGCGAGCCTCACCTTCAAAAGCATGCATCCTCAAATCCACGCCATCAGATCATGTCCTGGCCAGATCTAACGCCCCAAGCATGCAGGCGCATGGTAGACCTCCTGAAGGCCAGCTGCACTGAATCCCCACGTGGGCAAATGGGCCTATAATTCTGGGCTTAACAATTCCATTCCACACCCCCAAGTTGCTAACAACATCAGGCCCAATTTTATTTTTCTTATTTTTTAATATTATTTATCATTCTATTTGTTTTATTTATTTAATCATTTTACAACAAAAGAAATCATAAAAATCAAAAATCACAAAAAAAAATATAGAATTAGGTTTTTCTTGAAATTACTTTTATTAAAAATATAATAGTTTAATTAGATTAACTTGATTGTTTTTTATTTAAAATTAATTATAGAATTAGGTTTAATTTGCAATTAAATTGTTTTCTCACTAAAAAATACACAAAAATATTTTTCTTTAAGTAATTAGATTTAGGTTAAGATTTCAAATATTTTTCTCAATAATAAAAATACAAAAATATTTTCTCTTTAATTGATTAGATTTTTTAGGACTTAGACTTTATTCCCGTCTTAATTCTTCGCGCGCAGTTATTTATTTATTTTTCCAATTATTGAACCTGCTTCGAGTTTGTAATACCTTTTAATTAGGGTTTATTTTACTGCCTTTTATTTACTGTTTACT